CTCTGATTAAATTATCTCTGAAAAACCTACGTGGTGCGCACCAATGGGGGCTCGGCTCCCTCCAGGCTCTGGCCTAGATTATGGCAACAAGGGCAGGTGAGGCAGGTGGGGGCTGGGGAGGGAGGCTGGGGCAGGCCTGCTCCCCCACTCCCACCAGGACAAAGACTCGTCTCTGCTTCCTCACCTCCCTCCCCAGCTCAGCTCAGCCTCTGACCACCTCCACTCCTGGGACAGTCACAGCCCCCTCACTTGGGACACCAGGCCTTTGCGTTGGCAGTTCGCTCTGCCAGGATCATTCTTCCCCTCACCCATCCCTTGGCTACCTCCTACTCATTTTTCCACAGGGCCGCCGATCAGCCTTTCTACCATCACTAGCCCACCGGCTGGGTCAGGTGCCTGCTCTGGGCTTTTCCCTCTCCTGTTACCCTGGGTGATCACTGCTGGTTGTTTTATCTGTCCCTCCATGAAACTTGAGCCCCACAAGGTCAAGGACTGTTTGGGTCACTCCTGAATCTCTAGTGGCTGCCACAGAGCAAGTACTTAGGAGATATTGAATGAATGAATGAAATGAATGAATGAATAAAAGAAGAACAGAGTTAAAGAGGGAACAGGCATGACTAACCTTACATACATGGGAGAGTGGAAGCAGAAGTTTCAGGCTCCAGACCCCTTGAGCTGTGCCTATGTGACAACTAACCCCATTTCACAGATGGGGAAAACCAAGGCACAGATGAGTCACATGACTAATCACCTGAAGAGTCAGGATTCAAGCCCAGTCAGCCTGATTCCACTTCCTCCTCCTCTCTCTGCTTCTCCACCACAAAGAAAACCTGGGCCATATTTATTCATGGATTCAGAGATTAATTCAACTAAACTTTATTGAGTGCTGACCATATACCAGGCCTGTACTAGGGCTAACACAGTTCAAATGCAGACCTTGGTGTCCCAGAGCCTTCAGGTTGGCGGGAAAGACCGTCAAATATGTGAGTCATTATAAAACAGACAAAGTACATTTATGAAGGGGGAAGTGCTCCAACCTGGAGGGCAGTAGTCAGGGAAGGCTTCCTGGAGAAGAGGATACCTTAGCTAAAATCTGAAGGAGAAGCAAAAGTCAACTACCTGAAGGGAGGATATTCTAGGTGGAAGGGACAGAATGGGTAGAGACCTGGAAGTCAGAGAGACACCTTGGAGGATGTTGCAGGCACTTCAGCAAGGCTGGAATGTAGGAGGTATAAAGGGACTGTGAAGACTGAGATGCTCTCTGTCCCCCAACCCCCTCAGGGCCTCTTGAACCCCTGGCCGCAGCCAGCATTCAAGCACTGGCCTGCCTGGTGGTTATGTGGACCGTGGCAAATCTATCTTGACACTGTCTCCATTCACATAATGCAGAGTTATTGCACATGACCATAGCAAGGGGAGGCCGGATCAAGGCTGGGGAGTGGGGACCTGGGGGGCACTGACAGGAAGGCCTGACCTCAGGGAGGTGGGCAGTGTGAGCGTGAGTGTGGGAGGGTATAAGCTGAGCATCTGTGAGGCCATTTACCTGCCTGGACGGGTGTGAGGGGCACCTGAAAGACTGGGCTTTCCACCTATGCAGCTGCCTTCCAGTCTGAAATCCCACCATTAGTGCATCATGGGCTCCCAGACCTTTGGAGATGGAGGGGCCCTTTGAGACTTTCTAAACCCCCCCTCCCCCCGCCGCTGTGCATTGGAACCACAGCGAGACCTTTGGAAGCCACTGAGTCAGGGAGGAGTGCCACCTCAAGGGAGTGTGATTGGTAGGGCTGGGTCCTTAGTCCCGCCCTCCATTCTACAACAGAGAAAACTGAGGTCTGAAGAGGACAGGTAACTTGCCCTCAAGGCTGCACCCAGTCAATTAGTGGCTGGCATAGGGTGCAGTAAATCAAGATCAGGGGCTCTAGCATTTGGGACCTGGTTCTGTCATTGTGTGACCTTGTGCCAGTCACACGACCATCCTCAACTATGAGATGTGTACAGTAATCGAACAGACCTCACCGGGGTGCTGTGAAGGTAAAAGGAGATAGAAATATGTGATATAAACAGCATGGAGCATGTGCCCTGCACATAGTAGGTGTCAAGTCATAGTTAACCGACGATGGAAAAAAAATCCTAAATTATGGAAAATAGATGGTGTGGCCCTGCAGCCTTCTTCTCCACTTCCCACTCTCTCTTTCTTCCCAGGGTTTTGGTTGTCACCATCCTTCTCACTGCACCTGGCTGGAGTGCTGCACCATATTCTTCCCACCTGTCCACACCCTAGGTCCACCCAGTGCGTTGCCCAGGTAACCTGCCCTGACGTCACTGGCAGCTCTTGTGGCTGGCCCCTGGAGCAGAGTGAGCTAGCGGAAGCAGTTGGATCAAGTTCCCATGTACATCCCCACCCCCACTCCAACTCCAAGAAGGTTGGGTGAGACAGCCTAGGAGAACTAGAGCAGGGCAATGAAGCCAGGAGCTGCTGGGAATGGCACTCATGGCAGCGGCTCAAGGGCCTGAAACAGGGCCAGCTCCTGCCCTAGATAAGGAGGCAGGTGGCCTACTTGGTCGGCCCTGGAGCTCCACCGGAGGCACCCCCCCCAGGCTCTGGGTAGAGGTGTGTTGGCTCCTAAAAGTAGGCTAGCTACCCGCCCCCCACCCCATAAACAGCCCATCTCATGGGTACACTCACCAGGGTCTTTCTTCAAAGCCTTCCAGGTCTGGATGACTACAGTTGGCATTTATTAAGCACTTAATGGATTCCGAATCATTTCCAGCAATAATTTTTGTCCGCACAACCACCCCCTCGGATAGGAATTATGATACATAGACAATAAACTGGGGCACAGAGCCACGAAGGTAAATGTTCAAAGCCAACAGCTAGCAAGGACAGGGATGGAATCCCACTCAAGTTCCATGGGATTCCATGGGGTCACACAGACATAGCCTGAGAGTGGTCAGAGGAGTTCTGTGGCTTTGCATCTCTGTAGGGATCCTGAAGTCCCTCCTGGAAAGCTGGCTCCCCAGCATGCTGTGTGATGGACACATGGCAACTGAGGGAACTATCCCTCCCAGGACTCAACTTCTCCAGCTGAAAATTGGGACTTTTTACAGCAGGCCACCATGGGCTATCAGTCAGACCTACTGAGAACCTATGAAGCTGCTTAGAAAGTAAAAGGCAAGGTGCAGTACAGTTTGATAGACTCAAAATTTGGGCACCAGGTACTACTGTGCCTCAATTTCCCCATTTGTTAAATGGAGGAGAATATCAGGGCCTGCTTCCCATATATGTGGTGTGGATACCATGCAGTGGACTTTGTAAAGAACTTAGCACAGTGCCTGGGTGTATAATCAGTGGTCCACAGATCTCAAATGTGATGCCAAAAATCATTCACTGCCGAAAAATGCCTTGGGGCAAAACACTCCGGGACAAAGTGTCACTTCACATCTCTTAACCACAATTTCCTCTATAAGCTGGGAGTATAATAATAGTACCTACCATGTCGGTTTTCTCATTTGTAAAATAGGGATAATACTATCTACCTTACAGGGTTGTTGTGGGCATTATGGCAGAGTATTTAATTACATAAGTGGTAGCTTGCTACTATTTTTAACAAATTCCCCCGTAGAATTGTCTTGCAGATTAGCAGATAAGGCTCTTCGCACAGTGCCTTGCCCCAAACACGTGCTCAATAAAGGATACTTGTTTTTCCACCTCTGGGTCCCGACAAAGGGACTACAAATACCAGCACGCTCTGCGCCTCATGTCGGGGCCCCTCCGCCCGGCGCCGGCGCGCTGCATGCCGGGACTCGCAGTCCTTGCGAGGCCGGGCCCGCCTCGCCCCAGCTTGGGGGAGGAGGTTGGAGAGCCGCCCTGCCGGCCTTTGAATTTTGCCGCGAAAAGCGCGCGTGGCGGCCCCCGGCCCCGCCCCCCGCAGGACGCGGCGCCGCGTCACCCTGGTAACCGCCTCTCGGCCGCCGCTGATTGGGCCGAACCTCAGGGGGCGGGCGGGGGGCGAGACGCCGCGGCCGCTGCCGGCGCTCGCGCCTGTCAGTCGGGCCGGAGCGGAGCAGCGGGCAGGACGGCCGGGCTGGCGGCTCCGCGGGAAGCCTGCGTGCCCCAGCCGAGGGAGGTGAAGAGCCGGGCCCGCCGCCCGCCGGACGCTGCGCGCCGCACCGGGGCCTGAGGCGAGGCTGGGCGCCGGCGCGCGCCAGGCGGCGCGAGGCTGAGGCCCCGGGAGCCCCCGCGCGCCGCCAGGGGCCATGGGCGCGTGAGAGCCCGGCGCGCGCCACCCCTGCTGCAGCTCGCGAGCTCGCACGCCCGCTGTGCCGTGCCCCGGGCCGTCCCCACGTCCGCCCTGCGCCACCCGGACCGGTTATTTGGCGGCGCCGAGGCCCCCGGGACTGCCTCGAGCCTCCGCCGCCCGCCGCCGCCGCCGCCGCCGCCGCCGCCGCTCTCCAGCTTCCCCTCCCCCCACACCCAGGGCTTGGAGCAGGAGGAGGAGGGGCCGGTGCGTTCTAGCCGCGGCTCTTTGCAACCTGCGGGGGCCGGTGCGTGCCCGGCGAGGGGCCGGGGCCGCTGCAGGTGCGTGTAACCCCGGAGGAGGCGACCCCCTCCCGCCGCCGGGCGGACCCGGGGGCTGCGAGCCGCGGGCGGGCGGTCGAGCGAGAGGAAGCAACAAAGACGGGCTGCGGCTGGGGCCGGCGAGAGGGGCCGCGGCCGCCGGGCTCCCGGCGCGGGCGGAGAGGGCGCCCCGGGGAGCGGCGCGGGCCGAGCTGCAGCCCTGAGCGGGACCCCGAGGGGAGGCGCAGCGCCGCCCGCCGGACGCGCTGAGCACAGGCCCCGGCGAGGATGCGCCGCCTGAGCGCCCGCGCGGCCCAGGTCCCGGGCGGGCACGACCCACGCTGAGCCGGGAGACCCGCCGCCCCCGCCCCCGCCCCCGCCCCCGGACGGCGCGGGCCGGCGCCAGGACCACCGTCGCTGACAGCGTCCCCTTCCGCCCCGAGCGAGGCATCGGCCCCCCCGGGGCGCTCCCCCGGGCAGCCTCCGCCGCCTCTGCATGGCTGCGACCCGGCGGGCCGAGAGTCGTCGCCGCTGAGACCCGGTGCCCTTCAGCGGCCTGGCGGACCCGGTGAGTTCCTCGGGGCGCGGCTGGTTCCGGGCCGGGGCCGGGGGCACTCCCTGGCGTCGGGGCGGCCGGGTCGGAAATAAAGGGGCCCCGAGCTGTTGGGAATCTTGAAACAGCGGTGCTCCTGGTCTCCCCCCAGTCCTTCCCCTCTCACACACAACTTGTCCAGACAGGCCAGGCGGCCGGCGAGGAGGTTGGGGGCCCGTTGGGGCGAGGCGTATGCGGGAGAGGAAAGGTCACCCCACCCCTACAGCCAGCAGACAAAGGTAGCAGCTCTGTCATCCGAAAATTCCCTGGGAACTCCCGTGTCTTGGAGGGCCAGGGAGGGGGGTATCCAGGATGGAACCCTTGGGGTTCTCCCAAGCAGCCTCTGAGGTCCTCAGGGGACCTCAGCTCAGACAGAGGTGGATGTGGAGTCCCAACCATGGAGGTAGCTGCGTTTGGGGATCGTCCCCTCCAAAGCTAGAACACAGCAGAGTCTCCCGTGCAGTCCTCCTTCTTCAAAAAAGCTGGCAAGGTTGGTGGGTTCCCCCGTGGGGCCACAGCGTGACGTCATGCCAGGCCTCTGACGTCACTGGGGTTGCCGTGGCGACCTGAGGTGCTTTGACCCAGGGTCGGAGGGGGCGGGGTCGTGGTAACCAGGGGCAAGACTGGATGCCTTTGGGTAATGGAGGGGTAAAGGCAGATTCGCCACCACCCTGGACTGCAGTCCTCTGACCTAAATCCCCAGCTCTTCCATGAGGTGGGGGAGGGAAGCAGTGCCAGCTGTCCCTGCGGATGCTCCTCCCCCCAAGGACAGGTGTTCAGCTTTGCCCATATAGCCTGGCACTGCCTGGGGGCTCAAGACTGCCAAACAGAGCAACTTTATGCTTTCAGAAGGGATGCTATGGAGATCTCCTTGAACCCCACTATACACCCAGCCAGCCAGCTGGAGTTTCCAGAGAGATGTGTCCCCCCACCTTAAAAGAGGCCACTTCCGATCAGCAAAAAAGTGTGTGCTCCCCCAGCCAGGGAAAGTGCAGAGGAGCTGCTGCCTGCAACCCCTCAAGTCCAGGGGTTCCCCGTGCTGTACAACCCCAAGATGAAGGGCCTTGGCCAGGCCTGAACTCCTGTCTGCCTCACTCTCCTTTTGCTGTTTAAGATGATTTTGACAGGCACAGTGTGGTGCTCATTAAGTGAATGGAGGGCAAGTCAGGCCCGGCAGTGCCAAGGTCTGAAAAAAGTGTGTCCCTGCCAGGGGCCAGCTTTGATGGGACTCAGGCACCAGCCCTCTTCCCCACACCCCCCAGCACTGGCCCTGTGCCTTGTGAAGACCCAGAGAACCCCCCCAGCCAGTATCCTGCTGTTGGGTTCTTTGATTCCTCTTCTGAGTTCCTCCCAGCAATTGCTCCTGTTGTCGGATGTGGGTGAAACTGCTGTGATCACATTTGGAGGGAAAGGTTAGAGAACTGTGTCACTGCTTCTGCGCAGGGTGGGTTGAGAGCAGAGGGAAGTGTGTGTGTGGGGGGGTCATTATGAGAAGCCCGGCCCCAGTCTTTATGCAGCCAGCATTTTTTCTCTTCTCCTAACAGGCTCTCCAGCTAGATTAACAGGTCAATAAATATCAGTGGAGCTGCTTTTGGGGGCTTGGCAGGGAGATGATATTTCCAGCTGAAATGGTGTCGTTAAACACACAGGCTTCCAAGGACAGAGCAACAGCAGATGGGGGGAGAAGTGGGAGAGGTGGGCAGAAGGGCTGTTTGCACTGCCTCTCGAAGCTTCCCAGTTTAGAAACAAACCCGGAGTGTGCGCCAGAGATCCACAAACACAGGCAGTTGGAGGTCCTCCGTGGAGTATTTACACTTCTACAGCCAAAGCGGAGGGAAAGGCTGTCAGAATTGGGCAATTCCTTCTGTTCCCTTCCCTGGGCTTGGCAGTAGCACCGGGCGAGGAGCAGGAGGGAGTGCCAGCTTACCCGCGTCTCCCCGTGTGCCAGGCATTGTATAGGATCTCAATTACCGTTACCGCTGGAGTGGCTTGTGTGCTGTGGCCCATTTTGCAGATGAGGAAACAGGCTCAGGTGCTCAGCCAGGCAGCTGCAGAGGTTTCACTCCAAAGTGCCTTGGCACCAGAGTCCCCTTCCTCAGGGGTGAAGGGGAGGCCTTACACCACTTGTTGGACAGGGTCTCTGCAAGAGTGGGGGGCTTTCGGCAATGGTAGGAGTCTGGCCTCACCAGCATGCCTTCCCACACTGAAACCTGGGTTTGAATCCTGCTTCTCCATTACCTACAGGATATGTTGACCTGAGTAGCAACTTATGCCCTGGCCTTGTGGACAGACTGCTCCTCTCACCCCTGGTACACCTTTCTCCAGCACTGAGGGAAGGGTTGAGAGAGCTGGCCCTAGGCTCATTGTCATCTGCCCCTCTGGCTCCCCTCAGGGAGAGGTGTGAGGCTGCACTCACCTACTGAAGGGACCCTCCTGGTGGGCATTCAGCTGGTAGGGAAGTCAAGGATGTGGATGAGTCAGTGCCAACCTTGGTAGATGCGGTTCCTGACCCAGCCTGAAGGTTGGCAAGGGCCCTGTAAGGAGGAGTGCACTGTGACTCTCGGGACATGTAGGGATCTGCCAGGCAGAGGATTGCAAAGAGTGTTCTGGGCACTGGATGTGGCCTGTGAGTGCTGGGGTGTGCTGGATGAGGGGAAGGGGTGGTGCCAGCGTGGGCGTGTCCTGGGGACTCAGGTGGATGGGAGAGGCTAACCAGGGGAGAGGACCCAGTTAGGGCTCCTTCAATGGGGATGGTAACCCTGGCCAGTCTCCTCTCAAGGTTAGCTCCCTCCCCGCACCCTCACCACTTGTCTAATTCCACCTAAGCTGGTAAGCTAGCCCATCCCCTATCCCTTCTGAGCCTCACAGCGGCTCTGGCCAGGGGCTGGGCTGGGTCGCTTAACCCCAGGCAGTGGCAGTGGCTCATGGTTAAGAGCCAGGCTGTGGAATGGGTCCACCCTTGTTGCTGTGTGACCTTGGGTGAGTAGCTTTGCCTCTCTGAGCCTCATCCTCAGAACAGAGCCTCGAAATGGCTCTCCTTGCCCCTCCTGGAGCCAAAGATCAGACTGCAGGGTAGTCAAGGACCCTTCCAACTCCTCTCGACTGGCTCTCCCAGCCACCTACCCAGAGCACCCCCACGTGGTGAGCACACGTGGCTCCCTCCCGTCTGAGTTTCTAGGGGGCCGAAGCCGGGGCCTGGCCAGCCCCACCCCCACCCCCCGTCGCTCCCGGCCCCCTCCACCTTCCAGTCCCTCACCAACCGGAGGAAGCTAGCGGAGCAGCTCATATTCATGAACCGTAATTCAATCAGGCGGCGATTCCTCCGGGCTCGGGGCGGGGGTGAGAACGAGGAGGCGCGCACAAAAGGGCCGCTTTATTACCTCCCGCGGGCCGGGGATGGCTGCTCTCCCCCTGCAGCGGCCGGAGCCGCCTTTATTGTGTTAACCCATTTGCGTGTCAAGAGCTATTGTGCGCTTTCCCCGCCTGTGCCGGGCGGACTGCGGGCGGAGGGCTGCACGCCGGCCGGTCACCTCCGCGGGCGCCGCCCACCGCCCTGATTGGTTGCTAAGTGATTTGCATCCAAGGTAATCACTTTTATCTCAGAAGGATGTCGACTATAATTATAAGCTACTGACATCTTTTGAAATCTGCCTAATGACTATTTTAGTCTGCACGGGCTGGGGGTGGGGAAGGGGATTCTGGAGGCAGGGGTGGGCGGGGAGGAGGCTGGAAGGGGGATGGATTCCTTACACCTGGACCACTGATTCGTTAGTTGAGAAATATCCGAGGGCCTCCTGCATGCCTCGCCTCGCCTTGAACAAAAGAGAGCTTCCCAGACCCGGGTCGCGTTCGTGTGAGCGGAGTTAGTACCATTTCAGAGATGGGGAAATAAAGGCCCCGGTGTAATGAGCCACCAGCCCAGAATCAAATACCCAATCAACGGTTGGAACGCTAGTCTCTCTGAGCCCCTAATTCATGTGCTGGCCACCAGATAGGGTGCAGACAGAAATAATAATAGCATTCCTGGGTAGAGGTCACCTGTCGGGGACCTTCCCGGATGTATGTCATTGCCCTAAGAAATGCAGGGGCTGTTACTACCCCTGTTTTACCGGGGAGAAAAGGAGCCCAGGGAGGCTACTTCCCTGCCCAAGGTCACAGAGCCTGGAAGGAGCACAAGTGTGAAGTGGTTGGGGGCCAGAAGTGGGGATGCAGGACACAGCATGGCCAGTGAGAAGAGGATGAAAGAGTGAGCCTGGGCTCCAGCTATCCCCTCCATCACCCCCTGGGTCCACTTCAGGGTCTGGGCAAGGGCACCCTACTGGCCACCGCCTATAGGCCCACAGCCTCCACGGGGAGGAAGATGAATCTGCAACTAAGTCGAATTCTGGTCAGAGCCAGAGCAGGGCTGGAGGAGGGAAAAACTGCAGCTGGTCATGGCAGACTTCCTGACAGAGGGGGCTTTTGCTCTCAGGCCTGTGGACTGCATGGAGTAAATGATGATGTTGCTGGCAGAGGATCTTTGATATTCAAACAAATGACCAGGAAGGGCAGGGGAGCTTGTAAGAGGCTAGAGGTAAAGGGAGAAAAACAAGGAGAGTGTGCAGGGCCTTGAGTGCTAAGCTAAGTACTTGACGGGTCCAAAGGAACCACAACCTGAAGGCAGCAAAGGCATCTGACAGGGAGGGGTGGGAGATGATTTGGGTGCCAGACAGGTCATTCTGGCAACCTTTGCAGGGCCTTGGGAGTTGCAGATTGCGATGGAACCCTGGGCTTCTGCATTATCCCTGCTTGTGTGTCCTCAGACAAGTCCCTTTACCTCTCTGGGCCTCACTTTTCTCGTCCTTTCAGGGAAGTAATAGCAGTTTTCTCCCAGGCTTGTGGGTGGGATGAGCTTGAACATGCAGAAAATGCCCGGGTGAGTGTGAGCCCCTCAGTAGTGGGTGGGCTCAGGCACAGGCCCCAGTCAGTCACCCTGG